CAAGGGACATGGTTTTCTCCAGCTTCACTAGTGTTGCATCTGGTACAAGGGGTTGAGTGCTAAAGCCCCTGTAGGATTGTCACAGCGAAGCCAGATAACAGAGTAACCACAAAGAGATTTAATTCTGTAATCCCACAAAGGAGGATGTCTAAAGAGTGTACAACAGTGTCAGAGTTTGGAAACCAAGGGTTGACAAAGTTGGCTCTCTGGAATCTGGGGGTAGCAGTTAAAAGGTTAAAGGAGTCATTGTTTTTTGAAACTATCCAAGAGTTACAGCCATCTTTTTTTTTTTTTTTTTTTTTTTTTTAAGAATTCGGGGAATCTTATTTTCTTACATGTTTCTGGAATTTTTCATTTTTTAAAAAATGTATTTTTAAGTTCCAGGGTACATGTGCAGGATGTGCAGGTTTGTTATATACGTAAATGTGTGCTATGGTGGTGTGCTGCACCTATCAACCCATGATCAAGGTATGAAGCTCAGCAAGCATTAGCTATTTTTCCTAATGCTCTCCCTCCCTCTCCCAACCCCCGCCAACCGCCCCACACAGGTCCCAGTGTGTGTTTCTGTCCCTGTGTCCTTGTGTTCTCATTGTTCAGCTCCCACTCACAAGTGAGAACATGCAGTGTTTGGTTTTCTATTCCTGTGTTAGTTTGATGAGGATAATGCCTTCCAGCTCCATCCATGTCCCTGCAAAGGACATGATCTCGTTCTTTATGGCAAGTTACAACCATTTTTAAAAGTGGAACTGCACAGGATTACCTCAACCTACTATGTTCTTCCAACTAGGCCGTCCCTGTGGGTTTAAACACAATGTAAAGAAAGTGGATGTTAAGTGTTCTTACCACAAAAATGATAACTATATTAGGTAATACATTTGTTAGTTAGCTAGATTTAACCATCACACCGTGTATTTTATATATTTGTATTTATATTTCAAAACATCATGTTGTACACAATAAATACATACGATGTTACCTGACAATTTTTATTAAAAAAAACTACTCCAGCTGCTTACAGGTACCTTCACAAATACTATTCTCTGGATCAGAGAGCTCTAGATATTCCAATGGTCTACAGCCCCCACCTGTCATCCTTTAAGGGTTGTTTCCTTCGTTCTCACAATGAACATTTAATGAGTATCTATTCTATGCTGGTACCATGCTGGGAAGCTCTGGGAATACAAAAATGAGGAAGGGCCAGATGTGGTAGCTCATGCCTGTAATCCCAGCACTTTGGGACACCAAGGCAGGAAGATCACTTGAGCCCAGGAGTTCGAGACCACCCTGGGCAACATAGCAAGACATTTTCTCTAAAATAATAATAATAAAAAATAAGTGAGAAAAACACATTCATGTCTTCAAGGAACTCACAGTTCCTTGACAAGGAAATACTTGCAGTACAGTGTGATAATCCAGTTTATATAGGTGCAGTGTGGATATCAAGAAAAGAGTGAACAACTTTGCTGGGGAATGGGGACAGTCAGTTTTAGGGAAAGAGGTCTTGATGTATGTTCAAGATCTAATTCAAGGTAGGAGTTCTCTCTGCAGAGCAAATAAAAGGAGCCAGCACGCAGAGTGTGGTTTGGAAGACTACAGCACTTTCTCAAGGATCTTGACAGTCTTTGTTCTTAGTAGATTATGACGACTGATTTACCAGTGTCAGCAGCAAAGTCCTGGGAGCTGAACTGCGACAGAGCCATTACCACTGATTCTGGTTATTTTCAAAGGAGAAATTGGGAAAATGGGATTGCTCAAACTTTTCTCTAAGAAATTTTTTTTTTCTTTTCTTTTCTTTTTCTTTTTTTTTTTTTTTTGAGATGGAGTCTCACTCTTGTCACCCAGGCTGGGGTGCAATGGTGCAATCTCAGCTCATTGCAACCTCCATCTCCCAGGTTCCAGCAATTCTCCTGCCTCAGCCTTCCAAGCAGCTGGGATTACAGGTGTGTGCCACTATACCCCGCTAATTTTTGTATTTTTAATAGAGCTGGGGTTTCACCATGTTGGCCAGGGTGGTCTCAAACTCCTGACCTCAAGTGATTCACTGGCCTCAGTGTCCCAAAGTGTTGGGATTGCAGGCGTGAGCCACCACGCCTGGCCAAAAGTTTATTTTCAAAATGTCTCCCACTGGGTATAGTGTCAAGTAATTCTCAGACTATTAGCCACAGACAGGGAGGAAACCCAATTAGGTCTTTAACCCCACCCCAATCCCACTTCTAGATCTCATCCTCAACCAGATGCCCAGAGTTGACTTGAGTAAGTTAGAGTAATTTGACACAGAGAACCATGTGGGCCTCAAGTAACTAGGGGTTAAAGAAGCACACACCTTAATATGCCTGAGAGATGAGTGTCCTGAAAGACACCAGCTGAGGTGGCTCAGCTGGTCACACTGACCTTGGTAAGCAGCACTCAGTTCTGAAATTAACCTGTCAACTAAATTGAAGGGGAGAAAAAGCAGAAGGGCTAGCACACAAACATCCATCCCCACCCCCAGTCCAATCACTGACGTCAGGCCTGGCGTGGGTGGTATTAATCACACCCGCTTGGTGTGCAGTTGAGGACAGCTCTCCTTCCAGCCCTTCAACCCGTTTCTGGGAGCATTCCACCAGCCACGCACCTGCCACTGGCCACAAACCCTCAACTCCCAGACACGCACGGATGCAGTGATGGACGTTGCTGACAACACTCAAAGCCACAGTGCACCCTTTAGAACCCCAGGCTTTGTGGGGAGTGAGAGTAGCTAGGAGCGGGGACCAAAGTGGTACCCATGCTCTCCCAGTGTGCATTTCTCTAATCTCTGCAGTGCTCCCTCCTCATAAGATAGTCATTTCCTGAGAATTTAATGAGAATATAAGATTAATGACCCAAAGCACTCTTGGAGCCGGCCATTAATTCCCCCAGGAAATACCAGTGGTCTTTAAACAAAATTGCCTAAATTATGGGCTAGTGATGCATGTCTGCTCAGGGCTTGGGGGTGGGGGGATTGTCTCCCCAACTGGTTCCGATAGATGGCGCCTATCTTCATGTAAATCATTCATATGATTTGTTTTCCATTTTTTTCCCAGCAAAAACCAGGGAGCATTTAAGCAGACACACACAGCAGGGAGTGGAGAGGACTTCGTAAAGGCCCAGACAGGAACCTTCTGTCCAAGGGCTGTTTCCAGGCCTGGCACGCCTCTCAGGCTCAAAAGACTGAGCCACTCCAGGGTGCAGCCAGGGACTTCAGCAGCAGTCTTGCTTCCTATGCAGTCCAAGATAGGCACTGGCAGCAAGAGGAACGCAGGATGGGAGTCCAGCTGAAGAGCACAGAAAAAAAGCCCCTTTCAGCCGGGCGCGGTGGCTCACACCTGTAATCCCAGAACTTTCAGAGGCCGAGGCGGGCGGATCACGAAGTCAGGAGATCAAGACCATCCTGGCTAACATGGTGAAACCCCATCTCTACTAAAAAAAAAAAAAAAATACAAAACATTAGCCGGGCGTGGTGGTGGGCGCCTATAGTCCTAGCTACTAGGGAGGCTGAGGCAGGAGAATGGCTTGAACCCGGGAAGCAGAGCTGGCAGTGAGCCAAGATCACGCCACTGCACTCTAGCCTGCCTTTAACCTTTGGGGAAAGATGTTCAGAGAACCCTTCCCAAAGCTGATACGTGGTGACTATTGTATTCACATTTCAAGGTCCCTCCTGCCATTGGCCAAACAAGAAACATCAAACTTTTCCATTTCTACATGAAATTGTAAATAACACCATCTTTTCCTAAACAAACAAAATAAGACCTTAAAGAATTTCTGGCAGAATATTACCTAACCCCCAACTAACTCTTGCTAAACAGCCTTCCAGTCTGTGTATTGAATCATATAACTATCAAAGGATATGTAAAAGACTACTCTTCTGGGGGAAGATAGGGCATACGTCTGCCTGACTTGCATCACAAACATCAGCTGCAGCCAAACCATGCAGATTTCTTCGACTCTGCAATCCCTGGGACTTGGCACCATGACTCAGATGTGAATGAAGTCAGGATGGGTTTATTTTGGTGGGGAGTCGCCGCCTCCTGATTGATTTGGCAGACGTTAAGTATTGTATGTCTTACAGGGATTTAAGGTACTTAAAGCCAGAAGTTAAAATGGCCATCATTCTGGTGGTGGCCCTTCATATGTGACTTAAGGATCCCCAAATTGGAAGGTTAAGGGAGCTGTGGTCCCAGCCTAACAGTTCTGGCTTTACTTCCCATCCAGCAGCACAGTGGATATTGAAGAAAGTCAGTGAAATGTTAGATCCAGGAGACTGACTGCTAAAACTCCTAGGGTATCTAGAAGAGCTAAGTACGTGATAGCGGATTCGCTTTTCCAAACTGAGGAGGGTGAACTTCCCCCAACCCAATCAAGATCTGTTGGACCAAATGATGTCCAACTGCTTGAAACATCTCAGCTGCACAGAGACGGAAATGAACAAAACAGCTTTAGTCTAAGGTTGTGTGGGGCAGTGCAAGATGCTGCTTCTCCAATTCATCTGTCCACACAGCACGGTTCCCCATTGAATAAACAGGTTACTATCCACTTATCAGAGAAGTTAGGGAGGACCTGCCTTTTAATGCTGCTCGGAGAGACACTGTGTCAATGAGCGGGGACGTTGGGGAATTTGGACCCCAATTTCTTGTTCTTCTACACTTGACCTTGCCTTCCAATTCACTATGAAATATATTTACTAGGTTTGCTTCTTCCATTCTACAAATCATGCGAGTTTTCTATACTAAACTGTTTTCCTAGAGGCAATGTAGGAGGGACTCAGCTGGACTTTGTTTCCAGGCAATGAGAGGCTCCCAGGTTGATCCCATTAAGGCAATGCCCTCATTTTGAATAGCAGATGACTGGGACCCCTCCTCCCCCACACACCTGAATTGGAAACTTGGCTAGGCTTTGTACAAGCCCTTGCCCTTAGGCAGTCCATAAAATGGGAACAATACTGAAGACAATCCTGTAAGCCAAGAGTGCAAAGGCTCCGGCGCGTAGTAGGTCCGTCTCCTCCTCCCGCCGAGGGGCGCCAGAGTTAAGGAACTTCTTACTGGGAAGGGGTCCCTCCTTTCAGCAGGAACCTGACCCGCAGAATGGATCGGAAACGCGAGCAACCCTCGGATCCCTTCCCCGTCGACGCTCGGTGAAAAATCGATCGACGACCGAGGGCGCGCAGTCCCTTCTCCGCACGCCCGCCAGCGCCAGGGGCGCG